TGAAAGTTGTAAATGCAAATTGTAAGTCAGGCTTGGAAAAGCAATGATGCTGCTTCCACATCTTATGACAGGGTATTTATTCTTCTTTTTAAAAAGAAATATTTTTATTAATTTTTTTTTTAGAGAGAGAGAGAAAGGAAGGAAGAGGGAGAGATAAGAAACATTAAAGGCCCTAGCTGGTTTGGCTCAGAACACATGATTTGTTGGCCTGCGGACTGAAGGGTCCCAGGTTCGATTCCCATCAAGGGCACATGCCTGGGTTGCGGGCTCGACCCCCAAGAGGGGGTGTGAAGGAGGCAACCAAGCAATGATTCTCTGTCATCATTGATGTTTCTATCTCTCTCTCCCTCTCCTTTCCTCTCTGAAATCAATAAAAATATATTTTAAAAAAACCAGAAACATCAAAGAGAGAAAAACATCATTGATCGGCTGCCTTCTGCACGCCCCCCACAGGAGATCGAGCTGGCAACCCAGGCATGTGCCCTGACTATGACCAAGGAATTAAAATGAAGCATAGTAACCTCCATCTTGGGTAAAAACTGCTGTGTAAAATTTTAACCCTGCTATTCTGGCTTCTGTAAACATTTGCTTGCTTAAATAATAGGGAAAATAAGACTACTCCCCATTCCAGAGAAGCCATAAACTATGTCCCAGACAGAGTTGTCAGTGCTGGCGCCAGGCCAGGCCTTGAGATATGGCCTCACGGCCCTATCCTAGCACACAGGACTTTTTCTCAGAAGGTCTGGAAGTCTTATTCCAAATTTGGAAAACAAAGAGCTGAAAAAGATATAAAGAGGAAAGACTTCCACCATATTGGGAGCTAACCCAGCCAGGCTCTTCTTTTCTTAATACAGGTTCGGCTGTCAAATGTCCCAGTTTGGGGGAAGTCCACTCTGGACACCCAGACAGTTCCGGAGAAATTTCTAAGATTTTAGAGGACTCAAATCTCTTCCATTTAAAAAGTGATAAATTCCATAGAGACAGAAAGTAGAATGTTGGTTGACAGGGGTTCCAGGAAGGAAGAAATGGGTAGTTACTGTTTAATGGGTACAGAGTTTCAGTTTCAGATGAAAAAGTTCTGAAAATGAATGGTGGTGATGACTGCACAATGTACTTAATGCCACTGAACTGTACACAACATGGCAAACTTTATGTCATATATATTTTATTAATTTTTAAGTGATATATTCATCCACCCTCAGCCAAGGACCAAGAAAAGCAGCCAAGAAGCATGCCAGCATGCATACAATTTTTTCTGATGGTCAGGCTTTGATAAAAAGGCCACAGTCAACATCCACTGGAAGTACTTGGCTTCCCCCTCTTTTCTCTTTGAGTGCCTTTATGTCCTCTCTGATGGCGAGAATTGCTAAATTTACTAGTTAGTTGCCTGACTGTCAAAGTACTTAATGTCTTAGTCCTCACCTTCCATTCTCCCTCTCTCCAAGATTTCCTCCTATGCTCTCTGGAAACGAACCTCACAAAATTTTCTCAGTTCTATCAGAGACATTTGTCATTGTAACTGTCACACAAACGTGCCTATCCCTACCAGGTACACTTCCATCTCCCCTACTTCCCACCCTATATTATGGGCTCTCTACCCACAACCATATGTCTTAAGATAACAAATCATGAGACACACACACAAAAAAAAGGCAATCAATCATGATTTGTTCTCTTGAATTCACTTATCCATTCACAGGCCAATTGCAAGCATTTTAGTAATATCTTAACTGCTCATCTTGAGCCATATATTTTTCCACTCAGATTTATCTTTCATACAAAAAAAAAATCTTCTGAGAACACCACTTTTATCTTGCATTTCCTTGTTTAATGTCAATGATGATGATGATACCAACAACACAGCAGCAGCAGGAGCTAACATCTAAGGACTCATCACGGGCCGATACTGTACTTAGCTTTACGCACATTATCTTATTTAACACTCGAACAGACTCATACACATTGTTGTAACCGTTTTACAGATGCCTAAACAAAGGGTGAATGCAGGGGCCATTAGTTCAGGGTTTATACATCACAAAGTTCTGTGGATGTCTTTCAGGAAAGCATGAACTTCCTCAAATGGCAATGCATAAGGTTGTGTGGATGTGCCTCTGTGCATTTTTTCTGGGAAAATGGTTCTGTTTTTATAGGTGCATCAAAAGGTCACACATGATTATTAACTGCTGCTACATTGGTGAGATATTTTTTATTAAATCAATGCAAAATTCCCAAGTCGGATGTTAGCGGTCTTCCACCCTCAATCCATCTCCTTCACCTGGTGAAACCACGATCATTTTCAACAGTGGCTCCCCATACTGCTCCCCACCTGGAACCCACTCCCGATCCCAAAGCCGATCGATGTTTCCAAAAGCTTAACTGCGCCCCCCTCCCCCCCCATGAAGCCTTCCTTGTCAGCTCCAGCCCCACTGACATCGCATGGCCTCCAAGCACACACAGGCACACACACATTCCAGCAGGAAGCCCCTCTCCATTCACAGGGACACACACAGTTCACTGTCACACTCGGAAACACCCTGCCCCATCTTGACACTTATGCTATGAATTCTCCCTAATCGTTCTCACGCACGCACACCTAGGACCTCAGTCACCTGGCTCACAATCTCTCTCTCTCTTTTCCTCTCTCTCTCTTTCTCTCACACGCTCACAACATCTCTCTCTCTCACACACACACACACACAGACAGGCTCACAAT